TGAGAAAAAAACTTCTGAGAAAAAAAACTGAAGAAAACCAACTTCTGAAGATAAAAAACTTCTAGAAGAAAAAAAAACTTCTAGAAGAAAAAACCGAGAAAAAACTTCTGAAGAAAAAAAACTTCTGAAGAAAAAAAAACTTCTGAAGAAAAAACTTCTGAAGAAAAAAACTTACTGAAAAAAAATTCTGAAGAAAAAAACTTACTGAAGAAAAAAAAATTAATTCAGCACAAAGTTTTGATTAGTTTCCATCACATTGTTTTCCTAAAAATCAATAATGTGATTTTATCAATTTTAAACGCCCTAAAATTAGCTAAATCGGCGCTTTAGGGTGATTGCGTAATATGCGTGCACCATGACCTTTGACTTTTTACGGGTCATGCAGCTCTGTGCCGGCCGCCCTCCCACCCCTCGGCCATGCGTTTTATGGGAAAATTTCTACTTTTTTAGGGGTTTCGGGACCTAAAAACTAACACCAGAGGGAAAATAAACCACATACGTTATTTTCATGGTAAATATCGCTAAAATGGACCACGCATTTTTCTTCCGCGTTACCGATTTTTAAAAAGGCCTCGCCATGTGCTTCACGCCGATAGCGACTCGCCTTCCCCCGTCCGGGTTTGTGAGCAAATTTCTGCTTTTTCAGACGTTTTGGAACTTAAAAACCGACAGCAGGCGAAAAATAAACAATATACATTATTTTCATGGGAAATGCCGGTATACTGGCCCAGACATTTATCTGTTGCGTTAACCGAATTTTGCGGCCGCCACATGCTCATGGTGCGGTACGGTAGGGAATTTTCCACGGCTAGTTCGTAAACGCATCGGCTTTATAAACTTATTTTCGGGGTCGAGGGCTTTGTTTTACAAACCAATCAGACAATTAGCGTTGTTTACATGACTTAAAAACGCTAGCGGGGCGCCCGATGTTCCACCAATGACAGCTATTCTCTCGGTAGCGTCGTGCGAAATGGTCATTGTTTACTCGTTTATCGCCCATTCACAACTTTCAGAAACAATGCCGACGGGAAAATGGACGCCACTCGCGTCAAGATTTCGATGTTTTTTTGCCTATTTATCCGCGAAAATACGAAGAGAATACCCTTAATTTGAAAATTTTGGGAGTGGCGCTAGAAATTTTGGGAGTGGCGCACCGCCGTTGCACCATTGCCTGGGGAGACCCCTGTGAGGGATCAGCAGGATTGGAGGAAGATGCAGGGGAAGGATTAGGAGGGGGATTAGCAAGACCGATCTGTTGCAGCTTATCCGCCAACAGGCTTTGATCCTGATGCTGTCCCGACACAGACAGCCCCTCTGCCCCTTGGGAACACCGCGAGCCGGTTGCCTCAGCCTGTGGCGCCCCCGCTTCCCCGACACCCCCCGCACCCTGGCCACTCCAGTCATGCTGCAGCAGGTCAGTGATGAAGTTGAGCTCAGCAGGGACAGACGGGCCGTCGATCAAGGCAGCAGGGACACGGCCATCATCACCGAGAGGGACCTCGACAATGTGGAGATATTGCCGGAGTAATTCCATAACCCTGTTTTCCTCCCTGGGCTGTAGGTACTGCACCTGTAAGAGCTGCAGGTCCCGTCCCGTCAGTGGGATGGCTTGCTCTTGGGCGGGGGGCATGCTCTGGGATGAAGCAGGGCCGTTTGGAGCAGGCACAGCTTCCTCTGCCATCAGCGGCGTGAAGTGCTGATTGTGAAATGCGAGGACGACAGGATACCGCACGCAGAGCTGCGGCCGCCACAGCAGAGGGAGGTAGATCCCTCCAAAGTGGACGGGAGCGAGGGAATGGCCCTCCACGTTTCTGTGCACAAGATCGGCGATGATGATGATGGGGCGACGGAGGATGTTGGCCAGTGTGAAGACATGGAACTCCTCCAGAGACCTGTAGCAGTGTTGGCCACTCACTGGGTTGGCTGGCTCTGGTGTTGCCATGGAGACCATAAGTTGCCATTCTCGTGCCCACTCCTATTAAAGGACACGGTGTATGAAAGATTTGTTATCATCCAATGACATAATTTAGATACATGTATTAATTCTAAGCAATTATACCTATTCTGCAGAAGGATGAGTAAAGTCTACAAGGAAACTGTAACCAAACACTGCCTTGCAGAACTATGAAATATTGGTACATTTGTAGTAGGAAGCACTTTGCTCAAAAGGAAAACAATACCTCTGGTGTATACTGAAGACCACCCCCAGGATATGATGCATTCCTCATTCTTCTCTGACGTTCCCATCTTTCCCTCAGTACTCCATGGGGATCTGCCCAGATGGCGTTGTACAACTGTCGCCGTAGGACACACTCAGTATCCTGTACCCCCCACATGTACATCGCAACTGCATGAAGGAGGCAGTTGCCATCCCCTGAAACATATGTTCATAATCTGCTGCAAAATGACATTCAAATACATGTACTAACATTTGAATTTGAAGTTAAAGCAGCCCTTTGCGCCCAATTAACTTTTGATGCATCCTACATGTGGGCGCTGTTGCTATGCCTGGCATGGCAACGAAGTATGTGTACTGTTAAAATCTCAGTGTTATCACTTTCTCTATACATGTACATTATAATTTGCTTCATTAGGTATACCGAGATTTCTGTTTCCAACAATATCAGTCATTAGTATCTCAAAATCTATCTTCTTCCTCAGAAAAAGACCAAACCCAAACCATTACCAAATTCATTTTAAAAACATAAACTTTTATCTGGGTGTTACCTGTTGTCTGTACGGCTGTGAGCTTCACAGTTTGAAGACACCAGTTTAGCAGTCGAGCATCCTCAAGGGTTCTCTGGATCGGGCGGTCAGTGAGGAATTCTGCCATTGCAACTCTCATAGCGGGATTCACATTCATGATAGGTGGCAGCCGAAAAGTAAACTGACACATTCCACCCACATGATGTGGCTGGGCAGCTCTTTGATCTGTTTGCAGGTCTCTTCTCAGTCTAGTCTGGATCTGGTCATTCTTTCCCCAATTGAAGGAGGCAATTGATGTAGGGTGCACCATGTTGCCAAGTTAGAATTGCAATGCCTTTCTTTTCACAGATTAATTTTTTTGTTTTTTGTTTTTGTTTTTTTTTTAATCACAGATGATTGATTTGAGATACTGTCCTATTGGCAGTATTGCTTTGTTATTTTTCTTAATTCTTAAAAAAATAATGAACAAAATATGTTTTCTTTTCACACTGTCCCTATGTTACGCTATGCTATGGCTACATTCCTATACTATGTGATGTTAGTTGGAACTTTGGTTATATTCAGATTTGTGTGGTTGCAATGGCAGATAGTTCTAGTGAAATGACCACATCCCAGGACCTGTAAAATAAGGTTGACATGCATGTTAGTAACGTTAACGTTAACATGTTATCGTTATATCAAGGAGGTTCAATACATAACTTGTTATACATATTGAACCTCTTTGATTATACATGTATGTAAGTTGATGTAACGTTATATCACGTTATACTAATTGACGTTGCGTACATCTAGGAACGAACAGTTGTAGTTCGTGGAAGGAGGGGTAGAAAACGGTAAGGCGTTATGTCAGGTTTGGCTGGAACAAGGAGGTTAAAAAAAGTATTTGGCGGGAGCGTGGAGTTCACCGGCTGAACTGTGGCTGTGAAAGGGGCGGGTTGCTGGGGGGCCGGGGGTAACCTGGAGAACTGGCCATCGCGAGCTCCCCGTTACGTCTACGGTGCGGAGATCGTTGCCAACCCGCTTAACGCAGACCAGGGGTTTCAATTAGGCCGGTGTAGTACGGTCTTATTTGGTAAGAGGGCAACGCCGGTTGGAAAAATTATATTATTTTCCAGCCAAAAAAATTAACGCCGACAGATCGGCTGCTATAAAAAGGCCTGTGCAAAACGACTGGTAGCCTGTCTGCCATTCCATTTGCATACAGGGGTTCCCATACTCGCTCTCTAACCACTGATGCGGTATTTTTGACGTACTCAAGGTGCGATTTGCAAAAATTGGCAAAATAACTTCACTCACCAACTACCAACCTTCTAAGTCCGGACGCCATTTTGGGACTCCGAAAAGTACGTCATAGGGTCTCGTTCCGCAGTTTCTCTACAGGGTTCGGTGTTTTGGGGTGCCCAAAATATCGCTATTATATCGGTTGGATTTAGGTGAATTTCCTTTTAATGTCAGAAGAACAGTTTTGCCTACAATAGATGACAAAACGATCTCCGGAAAAAAGTGTTTTGTTTGGATATGCAGCCATAAAAGGTGTTTATCATATCACTATTTCCAACGGTACAGAAAACTGCATTATGAGACAATTCATTGGGCTGTTAAAAAACGTGGAGGGCAGGCTCTGGAGGGGGGGGGAGGTCTCAATCAGCTTCTGACCTAACTCCCCCCCTACCAGTCCAAATATTTGACGCCTCCCACCTCCGTCCAGGCCAGGCCACTCAACCCCCGATGACCATGCCAAATATTCGACTCAACCCCCCTCCCCCCGGCCCATCCCCCTGTTCTGTCCAACAGCTTTCACCCCCATTATCTGTTATCATTTGGAACAGCCCAATAATTCATCTGATCTGACAACTTTGGTCTTGTAGGAAAAGGGGGTTATCAAACCTCATTGATCTCGACGCTTTTGTGACAGATTTGCAAATCATGTCAATTTGCATCCAACTCGCAATGTATGAAGATGGAAGAAGAAGTCCATTGGTACCCTTGCATTCCAACAGATGCCAAATAAGGGGGCAACGACCCCCAAGAAATGTCAAAGTTGACGCATGCGCTCTGACCCACCCAAATCGCTGCTGCAAATACCCTGCGACTTCCTGCCGTATTTTTGCCCGTTTTTGTTAGGAAAAAGAGCCCTTATTTCGGGAAACACAGTCATGTCGGCGGGTTTAGGCAGCGCCCCGCTCTTCGCCTGCACCAAGTGCAACAGCAGGCATCCTTTCGAGGAGCTCTCGCAGGGACAACAGTTGTGTAAGGTGAGTGGTTTCTGATGCGGCATGAGAAAAATAAAACGTACGCCACGAAAAATTCTGGGTTTTTAAACGCAGAAAAGTTGGTTTTGCTCGTATCAAGAACATATTAGATACCTCTGAAGTGTTAGGATGAAACCAGGGGTTGTAGTTTATCGTTTAGTTTGTCCTAAAACCTCGCAGATTTTAGGTGTGAAGTCTTGTCAGTAGTGGGGAGGGGGGCAGATCTAGACGATCTCTCTGGTTTTCAGGTCACCGGCGTCATCACACTAATTTGCGGTCTGTCGTGTCGCTTCCACCCTGCAAAAGTGCACAAAGGTGTTGATTAAGTTGCACTAATCCAGCATATGGTGGTTGTTCTGTTTTGAATGCCGTGGAGCTGACTGAAAATTATGTGCAAATTTCGTGGCCTTGATTTTGGCTGATGCTGAAGTTTGGTCATCTGTCTGTTTTGGGGGTCAAGGCGGCAGATTCAAACTAGCAGCCCAGAACGCATGCTTTTCTTTTTTCAAGTTGTTTCAAAGAAAGAAAACTATCTATTTGGTGATGCTACTAACCTAGGAAGCAACTGCAAGAATAGCCGTGGCGACTCTTGACTCGGGCTTACATTGCATTACCCTCAGCAAGAGTCGTGGAAAGATCCATTGGCAGAACTGCACATTTCCCGTTGGCTGCTCGATGCTCCGTTTTTGACCCGGTTTTTTGCTGTCCCGAGCTTCCCTACAATATAACTCCACAATTGGCCGGGTTGCCGATGTTCAGATCGGCCTAAATATTCCACAGCGCGACGGGAAAGTACTAAAATAGCTAGTCGGTACATCCGCGCCGCCATTTTGGATATAGTCGGGAATGTCCGCTACCGCCGTCGGGAACGCTCGGTAGCGCCACGATTACCGAAGCGGGACCGAAAACTCTCCGATCATAACCGGAAAGCCTACCGAGCGTTCCCGACTATATCCAAGATGGAGGCGCGGATGTACCGACTAGCTATTTTAGTACTTTCCCGTCGCGCTGTGGAATATTTAGGCCGATCTGAACATCGGCAACCCGGCCAATTGTGGAGTTATATTGTAGGGAAGCTCGGGACAGCAAAAAACCGGGTCAAAAACGGAGCATCGAGCAGCCAACGGGAAATGTGCAGTTCTGCCAATGGATCTTTCCACGACTCTTGCTGAGGGTAATGCAATGTAAGCCCGAGTCAAGAGTCGCCACGGCTACTGCAAGAACAGCTACAAGACAACACATTGAAAATATACAATTTCCAAATAATTTTATATTTGTCCAGATTTGCATTTTTTTCTGTCAAGTCATTTAGCTTTGAATTTTAGTACACTGAGGTAACGTTACATAATCTGTGTAACATGCAAAGCTTAACTGCAGTTTGTATACAATACTTTTGTAAACTTGATCTTTGATTTAATTTTGACAACTTTTCTTTTGTGTCCAGGATTGTCGTCAAGCACACCCTGTCGTGAAATGCTTGTACTGCAGGGCTGAGTTTCAGCAGGAAAAGTAAGTTATAGGCAGTTACTTAATGTTACTATCATTCATAATTTCCAGAAGATGAGCAAATATGTTCTTAACAGAAAGGTGTCTTTTTAATGATAATGACATTGCTTATGGCACAGCTATACAGATACACTAACACTAGTAACAGGTACGGATATTTAAACATTTCCTTTTTCCCGTACCACAGTAAGAGCACCATCTGCAAGAAATGTGCACAGAGTGTCAAGGCTTACGGAACAGTGAGTATTTCCGTGTCATAGTCACTTGTACAGATGATATAATGTACATACCCGGTAAGTAACATCTCCTGAAAGCCTCAAGTGCCAGTGATGCCAAAATCTTGGGGGATGGTATCCCAAAAACAAGGACATTTTATTTGTCAATACCGCCAGTCAATCTCTTGTTCCTTCAAGGCACCACAAGGGCCAGCGGTATCAAACTCTGAGAAATGCCATCTCTAAATGAGTAACATCTTTATCAGTACTAATATTTCAATTTTTATGAAATACTGATAAAGATAGCCAACTGTCTTTGAGTTTTCTGATACCTGGGCAATTTCAAGTGCCAAAGGTATCAAATTCTGAGGAGTCACATCCCTGAAAAGACAAATAAAATTGTGAATGATATGTTAATCATTATTTCTTCCTCGTTCCTCCAGCCGACCATCTGTGAGTTCTGTAACCTGATTGCGGCATTTATCGGGTCCAAGTGCCAGAGGTGCACCAACCTGGAGCGGAAGTACGGCCCGCCCTCCACCTGCGACCAGTGCAAACTCAGGTGTGCCTTCGACAGGAAGGACGACAGCAAGAGAAAGGTCAGTCCGTGCAGTCCAAAGCTAGCCTGAGTATAACAAAAAGAAGGCATTGTATAAAATTCTATCCTTCCTTACCCCTATAATGCAGCTTAGGGCTAGCCTGGGTACCAGCCTGGTTAGTTTACGTCCGCTCCCACAGTTGCTCCCACCAAGATAGTGACTGTAGGAGCAGACGTAAACTAGCCAGAATGGTACCCAGGCTAGCCCCATGCTTCCTTCCCCCTATTACAGTAGTATAGGGGGAAGGAAGGATAGTCTTTTATACATTGCCTTCTTTTTGTTTTACTCTTGTCACAGCTCTGTAATGCTAGTCTCCTCCTGACCTTACCAAGACAAAAAGGGTCAACTAATTTTTCAAGTTTTCAATCTGCTTGCTTAATTTATGCCTTCATAACGTGAGGAAGTTCAAAGTAGGATGTGGGGATTTTTCTTCTCACACAACTCATACTGTATCTTGCCTGCTAACAGCACTGATTGTGTAAGATATACAGCACTGGTTGTGTAAGAAGAAAAATCTGTGTCCTATGCTCTACCAAGTTACCAAGCTAATGAAATTATTCTCAGAAGTTCATAGTACATTATCGTATAGCTGTGTGACACCCTTTATTATACAGCAGTAGGACAGAAGTACTATAAATTGTACGTATGATGTGTGCTGCTGTTCAGGTGGACGGGAAGCTGCTGTGCTGGCTGTGCACGCTGGCCTACAAACGGGCCCTGCAGAAGGCCAAGAAGAGGAAACATGCAGACCACAGCCACGTGTCCTCCCACTCCAGCTCCCACCACAACTCTCACCACAAGGACAAGTCCAAGCACCACAGGTACAAGCAAGAAATGGTTTCATCCATTCTCACTATGGAAACCAAGTGGCTGAGGGTGGCAAAAGTTTGATATTTACTGGTTAGAGATACAGGAATTAAACATAATTTAGAAAAAGTACTGCTTTATATGCGTATATGGAGTAAAATACATGTATGTACTAGCTAGCTTGGTCCTGGCTGATAAATGATGATGACCACAACTCACACCACAAGGTACACCACAGGCTCTGCCAAGGTAGCATTCGGGCACTGGGATATTTCTGTTTTTCTGTTGAAAAAGTAGTGAGAAGGTTACGGAAATGTAAGAAGAAAATAGAGCTGTGACATTGTTAGGTATCCAGTGTGTATCAGAAGCTATAACTGTCAGAAGTCAATTGAAAACCTGTTCCCATAGCATGTGGTTGTTTGTAACAGCTACCCTAGCACTAGCAGGGAGAAGATTACATTCAGGCTTTGAGAGCTGTAGAGCTGCAACATTGTTTGGCTGGCAGTTTTTTCCACAGAACTAAGCGACAGAGCTACTGTCCTGGTACAGGTCTTCTGTAGTCATCTCTTCCTCTCTTCACTGACTTCAGTGGACTCCCGACTGTTTTCTCCAGGTCTTCCACTGGCCACCACCACCATCATCATCACCACCACCACAGCAGCAACAAGAAGGCCAAGGTGGAAAAATCCACTGCCAATGGCAGTGCAAGGTACAGGCAAGCTTTGCCTACCTCTAGTTCAAGTTTGGTCCCTCTAAAGAAACCAAAGTTGGACCAGAGAGCTAATGGCTTCGCAAGGTATGGGCTAGCAAAACATTTCCCTTCTTTGAAGACTAAAAAAATGGACTCCACACTGATCACAGTAAATTTGCAAAGGTACTGGCAATTTGAGAAGTCAATATATATTAAGTTCTGCAGAATTCAGACTCATTGCTGTCAGTTGTAAGCCAGAACATACTACCTGTGTAAAAATGTCTTCTTTCAGCCAGTGTACACTTATGGAGATGTATGACTAAGGGTTATTCAGTAGCAAAAGAAATTGCCAGTGTCTTTTCAAACTTAGAGTTGTCAGTGTCACTATGTAAGATAACAATAAAGCTAGAATGTCTCCAATCACATGCACTTAAATGATACACACTCAGAACTTTCACTGCTTTTCATATTTTATGTTTACTTGCACTCACACTTTTTTGCTGGACGCCCTTTTAACCTTGTTTCTCTAAAGAGCTGTTTACTTAAGTTTTTGCTTCCATGTGTACATTTTTCTTTTGACTTCTCCCTGCTGCCTATCTCCATAACCAATACAAATTTGGTGCCCAACAGCTACCATCATCATATCTACCATAGCAGGCTGAGGGTTAATGTTTTGTGACTGTTTTCTCCCCTCAGCTCCTCCGAGTTGGCGGACATCACGAGTACGGATCAGATGATCGCCATGACACAGCTTCGGGAGGAGGTCGCCAGTCTGAAGAAACAGATCGAACAGAAGGACAAACTTCTCCTGGAGAAGGAGAAAAAGGTACCGTCTTGTCACCTCTGTGTGCGGAGGTTTGGTTTCCCACGTGTTTGTCTGTTTGCTTGTGTCTCCGTAGTTATTTGAATGCTGTGGAATAACAGGAAGTGAGGGAAGGGAGAATTGTGTAACTGCCGATTAACCACAAGAAGGTCAATCAAGTTCAGACAGTTGTGGTAACACTAATAGGGAAGACAGATACTACATACAGTATTTACAAGTTCATTGTTCTGGAGAAGTTCCCCTTGCTTTTTTCAATAAGCACACTTAACAGTGGACCACAGCTTAACGCCCTGTCCTTTGGACTGCAACCCTTTCCATTAGCATGAGTGCCGGTTCAGTGATGACATCCGAGATTCAAACTCCAAACCTCTTGGTCCAGAGGCAGAGTTGTTAACCACTGGACCATGCAGGCTACTCTAACTGTGAGATATTTGTGTGTTGAACAGATCACAGAGCTGAAGGCAGGTCAGTGGGAGACGGAGAAGGAGATGAGGAACAAGATCCAGAACATGCAGAAAAGCCACCAGGAGGCCGTGGAGTCTCTTCAGGTGTCACTTCGTAACATTCTACTTTGTCTTGGGGAAATCTTACAAGACATTTTCTGCATGCTTCATTTTTCTGGGACTTAGGGTCCGAGACGCCACCTATTTGTCTGTGTTTAAGATAGAGAATGTAGCAGTAAAGATGGGGCGGGACATTGTCCTTCATTTGCAGGAAGCAAATTGTGACTTTCTACTGTGGCTTTCTATTGTGTTTCATGTTTCTCATACAGGTTCACAGCTGTTTCCATTGCAGAGTTACTTCTTACAATATTTACAGAGCTGTAAAGGTGAAGGGGTTCTTGATTAAACTTAAACTAAAAGCAAAAATTTTGGCCGTAAAAGTTCCTTTAAGCCTGGGTGAGGGGAACATTTTTACCAGAAACTCTGCAGTGGAAGCTGTTGTGAAACTTCTCGTCCTTTCTTCTCTCTCTCCTTCCCTCTGTCTCTCACTCCAGACTCAGCACCAGGACAGTCTGAAGGCCCTGCAGGTCTGTTTCTTTAAGATATGTCTGAGATGTGAACTTTTGCTCAATCAGCTAACTTCTCTCCACTTGTCTTTTGTTCTTCCTAGTAAGAATGCAGTGTGTGGTGAATGTTGAATGTGTTAAGAACCTGAATTGGTTATTTCAAATACATCTTCTACTCATTTTCAAGAAATATGTTTTGCACTTTCAAAGTGTGTGAAGTATCATGCAAATTTACATCAGATGTGTATACATTATATAATCAAAACAACAGCAAACTTTGTTTTTACACTAGAAGCAGTAACAACATTAAACAACAGCTATAAATAAAAGATTTAAGACATGAATGTATTATATCCTGGAATTATAAAATACAATGTGACCAGTGTTTATACATTTCCTATTTTTCCTAGTTTATGTTAACTAGTATTTTGTCTACAAAATTGTGATTTTCTTCTTCAGACCAAGAATCGAGACCTGCAGAAACAGATCTCCCAGCTGAGCAGTAAGAAGCCAAAGGCCCCCACAGCCGCCTCCGCTGCCACCTAACAACACCCCGCTACTCCTGTCTGTCATAACCCTGTCTGTTACATCCAACACAGAGAAGTTCTCTCACCTAGAGCTTTCGACCAGTCACTCTGGTCTTCCTCAGTACACTTTTCTGAAGTGTGACATGGGTCAAAGGTACCCCGTCGCGGTTGAGTGAAGGGTGATGAGCCCTGATGGAACCCATGACAAACCTCACTGGGTCAGTCTACTGAGGAAGACCAGAGTGACTGGTCGAAAGCTCTCGGTGAGGGAACTTCTTTGTGTTGGATCAAAATTTTTAATTCATTTGCTAACATGTAACTACCAACACAGATGAACTTTCATGATAATCTGTCAGTATGTTTGTCCACTAACATGCCACAGAATAACATCACACCAATTCATGTCCATTGTCCTCTGTCATTTTAAAGTAGAAATTCAGCTGGAGTATAAGATGAAAAAGAGACTGTGGGGAAAAAGTTGGATCGGTCTATATTTACTACCTGAAACTGAGGGCATGTATTCAGCCCACAGGCCTCATTTTTCTACTGATTTTCCAGTTTTTCTTTTTTTCAAGCTTTTCCGAGAACCAAGAAATGACATTGGTGTGGCCTAAAGTCTTCAGTTGGTTTCTCTTCCTACAACTGGCAAAGTCACCGTTTTAGAATCTTTTCACAAGAATTCTTTGTGGGCCTCGTGGCAATGAGGAAAATGAGGTCAAGGCTAAATTTTCCAGTATGGACCCAACTCACTTCCTCAGAAATACATGGGTGTCAACTTTGTAGAAATCAACATATATTTTATAGATTTGTGCAGATCTCTTTGCATCCTAAGCACGGTCAATTTCTTGGCTGTTTCTGTTGCTTATCTAGATAAAATTTGGCCATTTTGATTTTAACTGTTAATAGTTGAGCAGCCAACATTTTTTCCTGTTGTAAGATTTAAGGGCCATTTTTAAAACTTTTTGACACCTCCATGGATTACAAAGGAGTTTTGAATGTCAACATAATTTCTCATGAATTCTAAGAAAGCACAAATTTCAAAGTCTGACATGGCCAGATATACAAGAATAGCCCTGTGAGCACCATGTTCTTGTACTCTTCAGGTAGAAACAGAGTTTTTAAACGTTAATGTCTAAAGCCATGGTGTCCTTTCCAGCCACTGACTCAGGCATGTTGAGAATTGCCTCAGTCTGTGTTTTCATGTTTAGACACTGTGAACCAAGTCCACAATTTCCACATTGCCAGTACAATGGAACTGTAAATTCTGCTTCAACACTTTTTACATTTTTCCAATCTACAATGTACATGCTTACCTTTGTGGGGGCATCACCACACACTATGGCAAACTTAACCATCTTCCTGCTATGTTCTTAGTGGCGTGTTGGTTCAGTTGTGCACAGCAGGATGAAGGTTAACTGTTAAGAGCTTTTCAACTTCAGCTTTTCAGTTGGCCAAAGATTCTTGTAGTTAGCAACAATGTCTTGGAGATGTGTACTTTTTTAAAAGTGAATTCTACTCTGTAGTCTGTTAAGATTCTGACAAAGCTGAAAATTGTCTGCTAGCTCTGTGAGATTTCAATAGTTACACCTTGCCGATTTTTGATAGGCTGGATGCCAGCCTTTTTAGTTTTTGTACACCCTCGAAGGAAAGCAAAACAGAGAGTGTTCTAAAGCCAAAAAGGCTGCATGTGTACCACATGTATTCTCATTCGAATTCTACTTTTATGTGACTTTGCACTCCTGTGAACCATGAATTTGTGCACACCCCTCTCTCTAAATGTAGTCTTCCAAAGGCAGCTTGTGACAATGACTTGCGGTGGTACCATTGATAGTGAAAAGGGGGAAGTTGCCGTGTTTCAGGGGATTCACTTCCTACAGTTTTTTGGAAAGGAAGCATTTCTGTCAAAAACATGACTTTTAGAAGGTGCTCAATATTTGTATATAAAAAAAACTTGGGTCTCAGATTTTATTGGATGAAATATTGTCAATGAACTAAATTGAAATAAATAAAGAACAAATCTACCTGCTAATAATGACTGAATGGTTCTAAACAAATTCATCATCGTTTACTTGTAAACAACCTCCTGGTTGTAAACAAAGAACATTTTTTTCAATCATGTAAAAACTATAGATATAACTTTGCCAGAAATGTTTTCAATAGAATTGTGAACCCATCTGTATCGGTATGTATTTTCATACACCATGTCTTAGTCTGGGTGTTTTCTTCCTTGAATAATGTAACAAATTTTGAAAGTATGTCTGAAGTATGACGGGTTTTATAACTCCATACGTTTTGTCACTGATTTCCCATCTGAGTGAGAGACCTGTCCAGATATAACTGTGTAACACACTTAGGGAGTTTTTAAATAGCCGTAGACAACAATACGATAGAAATATTTACTAAATCAGCTATTTGTAGACATTATCAGGGATGTCTGAACACTTTTTGATCAGTGTATCTCAACAGTTTGGTCTGAATTTTTTTACATAATGCTGGGTTGTTATGTACACAATAGTTTATATTTCAATGTATTGTGAGAAGCTAGGGTGAATTCTACTTAAAAGTTTAGTTTTAGACAGTGAAAGAGGTGTTGAATTCTATTTTTCGTCGTGATAAATCTTGAAAATGTAACTTGTACATCACCTATTGTCATGTAGTTTAGGATGTTATTTATTCAAATGTGTATAGTCTACTTTTCCAAAACAAGGCTTGTTCCATGTATTTGTCATTTGAATTGATCCGTTGTGAGGCCAGACCAAAATGGCTACCATCCTCTTCCTGCTAGATTTGATTCACCAAACTCTTAGTTCTATGTTGTACCTAGCCTTACTTTAACTGTGTAAAGCTTGTAATTTGATAGCCTTTTGACCTTCAGATCAAAGGTCAGATTGATAAAATGGAGGACTCAGTTCCTCAGTTGTTGTGGTATGAAATGAAAGGCAATGTGGTGATGATGTTTTCACATGACTCGTGTGTCATAGCTTTCTAGCTACTCTCCACTGGACCACTCTGGGCTGAAAACAGTAACAATTGACCAAAATAAGTAAAATATTTTGCCAGAGGAGTTGGCAGGCCATGTGGGTACAGAACTACATGCAAAATATTAGATCCTGCTTCTTTGGGTCAATTTTTTTCAAGTGTTTCAGCTCAAAGAGAGGCCTGGTGGAGACTAGTTTCTAGCTGTGTTGTCTAACGTTGACCACAATCATGCACAGCCAATGTAGATAATGTACAGATCTAGGATGTAAAATGTGTTTTCCAACGTGGCTGTAGAAAGTTGCTGCATATTTTTAATGATCATCTTGATTTTGGTTTGTGTGCTTACTATGACTTTTTTTGCATTTTTTTTCTAAATGTAGTTTGCCATATTGTATGTGACTAAAGCTATCATTGTTAATAGCCATTGTACCGCCCAATAACTTGTAATTTGATACTCGTAGAATAAATTTTTGCACTATCGATGAAGCCTTGAGTCTCATCTTTCTAAAGTAGCTTTTTTATACAACAATATAACATGTCATGTACCATAAAAATGGTCATAAAATCACGCAGAAACGATTCCTCCTTTGCAGACTTCTGGAGGCAGTGGCGTTTACTTTTTAGGTATGAATTATTTTACAGATTTGCAAGTGATAGTAAAGCCATCTACAATAAGCTGTTTTATACTTTTGCACGTAATACATACAGCAACTAGTATCTCAAAAATGACGTTGCTGTTGTCTATTTCTGCCATCTTCTATGTCAGAGAAAGTACCATAATTCTGTAAGGCGTGAATTTGATATGAAAGCATACGGGGCACAAGTGTCCCACTCCTTTACAAGTTTACACTAATTTGTACTATGTTAGATTAAACATGTATGATGCCAAATGAGGAGCTGTCGTCCAGCTGTGTCCTCTTCTCGGCTACAGAAATGACCGTCTTCCCTCGGGCATGACCTTGCTCGACCTTGTCATAGGCAGCTGGCAGTTGATCGAAGGTGAAAACTCTGTCAATGACCGGCCGGATCTGTGAGGAATAAAGAGAAAATGTACCTCACTCCATTGTGGGAAATGAAGCATATCGACAGAATGCAGTACGCCTGCGCGAAACCCAGATTGAATGTTTCGCAACGTTGCATACAAATTTTGCCTATTGCTGACGGCATCTTCTCTGGCACAACATTTGAAAACTGAAGACAGAAACATTGCTGTATACTATTTGCTTTACATACATAACAGTACACAAATAGTTGCAACAGTTCACCTAGTAAAAACCTATGTGCAGATTTACCTCTTAAGCACATCTTGACATGGAACAAGACATTATAATAAATAAAATCAAAACAGACAACAACCTACCCCAAGACGACTCTTGCCAAGTCATCTTGGAGTAGCTAGTGAGATATTCTCACCTTTCCTTGGTCCACTAAAGCTGCTATCTTGTCCAGTGCCATCCCATCTGGGGTGAAAAATCCCCACCGGTAGTGTATACCAGAGGCCAAACCCTACAGGACACAGAATTGCTTTCAACATCGAAAACACATGATATTTGAAAAGTATGCCTTCAACATTTTATATGTAACTTTTAGTTTAAGATACCATGATCTTTGTATCATGTCAATCCTACTTCCTGATACAAAACAACTAGCCATTTGCCTAACTGTACAAACTGCTACATGTACATACCAGTAACAAGCTTTTGGTGTACCACTGGTATTTTACCTAACTAATACAGTATATAATGAACATTTGTAAAGATGGGAACACTACTCACTCTGCCATTGCACTGATAATACCCAGTAAAAGTTGTTAATGTACAGTTGTATATATTTCACCGGTTTAAGATCAGTACTAACAATGTAGTCACCACCCCTAGATTGTCTACTCTCTGACTATACATAAGATCCATTTGTAAAATGATTGTTCTTCTATATTTGATATTGACACTGTCTCCTACAGTCTTACCTTGACTGCATTGCCAGCCAGTGACATGCCTGATTTGAGTAGGCCATCTGTGAAGCCGAGGGAGTCTGCATTTTTCAGCAGCGGGGTTCTGAGGGTGACGTACTTGGCCCCGGCCCAGGGCTTGAGGTAGTCGGTACTGAAGAGATACTTCTCTGCCTCTCCTCCTACTCCATCTAGGATCAGATCAAACCTGGAAGAAGGATGGATGGGACCAGGAAAAAAGTTTGAAAAAGTCTGACTCATTTTAATTTTTTTCAAGCAAGATTTGGATAAAAATGTTTGTTAAGATTTTGAATCATTCTAGGGTTTTTTCAGCAAGGTTTAGATGAAAAGGTTAATTTATATATAGTTTGTTATTCCCTGGAGCTAGAAAACTCCCTACTACACAATTTACGTCTGTACCTTTGATGACATTATCGTAGTAACAAGGTTTTCATCTGCACAATCTTCAACTTTGATGTGCCAAAATAAGTTGATTTGTTGCTGTGGTGAAGCAATTAAGCCTGAGGACCCGTTTTATTTATCTTTTCATGGTCTTTTGATGCGATCAGCGGAGGTGGTGGTTCTTTCCCAGGTAGGATTTTATCAGAAACACAGTTCTCCTGCTACAGCAGGGAACGGTGATCAG